GTTCATACCTGTGCCATCCAAGAAAAGCCTTCTCTCTCCTTTGTATCTCTTTTCTGTTGTGCTCTGAACCCTTGAGATCCTGGAGGTGCTCAGAGCATCAGGTGGCAGGTGGAAGAAAAGGTGGAGTGAGGCTCCAGGAAAAGAGCCAACACAGCTGCCTCCATCAGGAAAGTTTCCAGAGGCTGATGGGGCCCCAGCTGGGGAGGTGGCAAACTTTGCCTGGCAAGAGTTAGGGCTTGTTACAAATACCAAACTGGAGTTCTGTGACCATGAAGCCAGGCCACCCTTTGTACTAAAAGTATCTGGAAAGCTCTGTCATAAACATAAAGTTTCATCCAAATGGTAGGATTTAAAAAGGAAAAAAGAGCATTGAGAGAAAAAGAAAGAATAACATCAGTCATGTTTATTATGTTAATACCTTGCCAAGTCCAGGTTATTAAACAAACCAGTAATATGCATCTCATGTGGTGTATGTAAATTGCTTTGCTTGCATGGTTGCCCCTGAACCCTTGAGAAATAGGACTAATTATCTTAGGAGGACTGTTCCTCCTGTCATTCTAGCCATGGGGTTCTAGTGAGTACTACCAACCACAGGAGACAGGCATGGACACATATCCAAGGCTGAGCCAATCAGAGGCCTTTCTTGAGGTTCTAGAAATTGGGACTAGGAAAGAGAAATAGTCCCTTGTTGATGTAAGATGGTAGCCTCATAGATCCTGTGTGCTATGGTTTCAATGTAGTTTGTTTCCCAAAGCTTCATGTATTAGAAGCTTGGTCCGCAATGTAATGGTGTTAAGATGGTAGACCTTTAAAAGACGAGGCCCAGTGAAGGTCATGGGAGCTCCACCACCATGAATGGGTTCATGCCTTCTCATGGGAGTGAATCAGGTCTTGTGGAACTGAATCAAGTCTCTTGAGACTGGGTTATTGTAAAGCAAGGCCACTCCAGATGCTTAGTTCATTGTGCATGCTTCTAGCTCCCCTTTCACTCTTCCACCATGTTGTGACACAGGGGAGCTCTGGTGCCATACTGTTTGAACTTTCCAACCACTAGAATTGAAAGATAAATAACCTCTTTTCTTTAAAATTACCCAGCATCTGGTATTTTGTGATAGCAACATAAAATGTACTATAACAATGGGCAATCATGTTTCCAGCAGTACAAACTATAGATGCCAACACATACAGAGGAGTGGTAATATTTAAGCCCCTTATTCTAGCTCCTCCTGAGAGCTGAATAAACCCCTGATCTTTTCCCAGTTAGGTTATACAACAAATATTCTCCCTTTTTGCCTAAATGATCTTGTGTTTCTGTCACTAGAAATCAAATATTCACTAGATCAAAAAGATATTTCTATAAGAAACACCTTGACCATCAGAAGCTAGCCTGTGGGTAGGTTATGTTATTATACTGGGCATAAACAACCTCACAGAATACCAATCCCAGACAAGATTACCCTACCATGTACGATTAAAGCATGATCACTTCATGATTTTGAAGGTCACTGTGCCACCTTCCAAAACCATAAGCGCTCTTCTCCTGGCTAAGAGATTGTAATTTCTCAAGAAATTGCAACTTGATCCATGTTCTGATTTCTCTCCCTGCAATTACCCATCTGTAGCCCAACTAGGTTTTTTCAAGAAACTTCTAAGATACCCCATAATGTGTCTCCCTGCTCAGTACAATGAGTGAAATCAAAATTGGTTGAATTACAGGTGTGTTCCTTAGTTGTCTATGTCTAGGGGACATTAGCTCTGTTAGAATAACCAGAGAGAGAGAGAGAGAGAATGCTCATGCTCTTGTGAAGTCATTTCTTCCCCCAAAATTCTGGAAAAGACTTCACTTAAAAAATATTCAAAAGGTTGGAAGCTTGCAGAAGTGCCAAAAGAAGCCATCTGAGTGCTGTACATTTTAATTCTTAAATGACTTAGAAGGTGTAGTGGTTTGGAGAGAAACATGGACATCCCCCCTCAGGATCTCAGGATCCAGGCACCTGTTTCTCACAGTGTAGGCATCTGAGGGTTCACAGCTGGGTTCCTCCTTCAGAATTTCTTCTGACCACAGTCTTGGTCACACACAGTCACACTTCCTCTCTGGGGCCACCTGCATCAGTGATGGGAGAGAGAGCAGTCCAGCTCTCTAGGCTTGCACCAACTCTGGTCTCCTCCAGCTCCTGTGCTCCCTGAAGGGTGGGCTGAGGCCTCCACTGCAAACTGCATTTGCACAGGGTTCATCCTTATCATGACACAGTTTATTTTACTCCCTATAAATCAGATCATATCTCTCAAATCTGCTGTACGCAAATCTCCATCCCAGAGTCTATTTTCTGGAGCACTTACGTAAGATAAAAGAGTGTCGGGAGCTGCTCTGGACAGGAGCTGTGTATGTGGCAAGCCAGCCATGGGCTGGGTATGTATGCGCTATGAGCACAAAAGTGGACTGGACTGACACTGCCTCTCTGTTTGGGCTGGTGATATTATGTGTCCTTTTTGCTGGCTCTGCCTATGATCCCCACACAACACATGGGATGGGCATGGCCTTCCAAGATGTCAATCTGCTGACAGCAAGACATCACGAAGCTAGACTCAATCCCCTGAAACCTGACCCCTTGCCTCATTTGAATGGCTTCTCCCAGTAAAAGGGTTCAGCATGTGCTCCTTTCTCTTTCTTGCCTACCTTGGGTCAGAGAAGCCACCATAGAACCCAAAGAAAAAGGTATTTCTCTGTCTCTGTGTGATTATTTTGTGCCAGCCCAGTTCACCTAGAGTGACCCCGACTAGTTTAGTCCTGTGTTGGGACCAAAGAGAGTTGACATTGACTCTCCAGAAATTCTCACTCAAAATTGGAAAAGGTCCCTTATTGAAAAGCTTGAGATGGGTGCAATAGCGCATACCTATAATCCCAGCAACTTGCAAGGCTGAGGCAGGAGGATCACAAGTTCAAAGCCAATTGCAGCAATTTAGGGAGACCCTGTCTCAAAATAAAATACAAGAAAGGGCTGGGGATGTGGTTCAGTGGTTAAGTGCCCCTGGGTTTAATCCCTGGTAGAAAGAAAGAAAGAAAGAAAGAAAGAAAGAAAGAAAGAAAGAAAGAAAGAAAGAAAGAAAGAAAGAAAGAAAGAAAGAAAGGAAGGAAGGAAGGAAGGAAGGAAGGAAGGAAGGAAGGAAGGAAGGAAGGAAGGAAGAGAAAGGAAGGAAGGAAGGAAGGAAGGAAGGGAGGAAAGTTTGAAGATTCCTGCCCAATGCACACATAGGATGGTTTGTTACACTGGTAGGGAGAAGTCACAAAACAGAACCAGTGTCTTCCTTAAACAGGAAGATGGATCAAGGTTAGAGGGGTTATAAGAGCTGAGAGTGGCTTATATACAACCTATTGTACTTAGTAGCTAATGATCAGCTGATTGGCATGCTTTATTACCTTAGCACAGACGTACAGCCATGGATACAGTGTGATGGGGATGTTCTCAGAAATCTGTCCTCAGGAAATATTGTCTTACAAACTCATAGAGTGTATTTATGCAAACTGAGATGGCTATGACATCACTAGTAAATATAATATGATGAACTGTTGTCGTACATACATAGTTCATCACTGAATAAAATGTTGTGTGGTGCAGGAGTGTCTATGTTTATTGAAAAAAGTCAAGTGCTTCAAAACCTCTTTGTTATATGAGAGTCAGCCTGGCGGGTTGGATATGAAATGATAAGCTATATTCCTCTATACAACTCGTTATCACTTAGCTAAATCTAAGTCATAGGTTCCAGGAGAGAGTATGATTATAATGCCTGGTTTTACCAATTGCAACTCACAACTCCAGAAGACCTCAATTCATTCAATTTAAATGCCTCTGCCATTCCTCCCATAGCATGGCTCCATCCTCTTCAGCATTCCTTCTAACTCCCAATAACCAGTTCACATCTCCCTCCCTACCTTCCCTCTTACTACTCATTGTGCCCTCTCTGCCTTTCATCAAAATCCCACCCACCTTTGAAATACCTGACTCTATTCTATGGAACATTGTGCTGTCTACATTCACCAAGGAGGATCACTTCCTACCCTAACTCCTCTGTCCTATTTTCTGTAACTTATCTCATCCTTTTGTACAAAAGGCATAGGCATATGCAGCTTCTCAGTGAACACTATTTCTAAGTTAGTGTTCTTAAAGTTAAAACTTTCTTAAAGTTTCTTTATAAATACATAATTCACAAGGCATAAGCCACCTATTTGTACTATACAATTCAATGATTTTCAGTAAACTTACATAGTTGCACAGTCATTCCAATTTTAGAACATTTTCACTACCCTAAAAAGATCTCTTGAGCCTATTACAGTAACTCATCATACCTGTCCCTAGGCCCACTCAATCATCAATCTGTTTTGCTTCTATAGATTGCAAGAAATACACCTTGGTTTGAAGTATCTTTATATTCTAATGGTCACTATCATTTATCAGGGTGTCCCCTTTACAAACAATCTATCACAATCTGAAAGGTATAATTTTCAGGTAAAACTTGGATACTGAGATTTATTTTAAACTCAAGGTTGACTCTGTTGGGTTTCCTTTTGCAAAATGAAAAACAGGAAGGCCTTGGAGTGATCAGATTACATGGTAGCACCAGAGACTCTTCAAACAAGGCAAGTCACTGTGGCAAGTAAACAGGAGGTCAGACAAACATCCTTTCCTGCAATTCCCTTTTCTTGAACCCAAGGGACAAGGACTCCCCCTGAGAACAATTAAAGGCATCCTACAGAAGTTGAGAATGTTGCTTCCTGTGTGGGTCAAATACAAGTTAGGTTTACACCTTTTGTTAGTTTCCTCTGTATCCATTTAAACAAGTTATTCTTTGGGTATCTTAACCTCTTAAATATTAAAACAACTTGATAAAAAAATTGCATTTGAAGTCAATTTAAATTGTGCCATTTGATCAACTATCCTATAAGTACATAAGAAAATCAAAGCAAAATTATTTCCTCCCCCACTTTACAACAAATCAACAAATAATTTATAAAAATAGTTTATTTAGAAATATTTTAATGAAGAACTATGAATTTTGATACAAAATATACAAAGTGTATTAAGAAAACAAAGAGTTGTGATTTTTATCTTATGATGTAAAAATAAAACAGGATTATATCGGTTAAAAACAAATCTTAACTAAAATGCTATAAAACAAGTGTCTGAGGTGTTAGGCTGGCAAATAATGTGAAAGTAAAATCATTCCTTCATACGCTTAAATTCTACACTCTCAGAACCAGCAGTGCTGTGTTATTTATTCCAAGTTCATGTGAATTTAGTCCCAAGAATACTAATGTATTTAAATCAAAATGGGACAGCTCAGATGCTTCCTAACTTCCGCAGACAAAAGAGCATTTCAAGTGCAGAAATTAGCATTATAACTTTGATTCTTTCCTACATTTGAATACCAGAACTATGAATATTCCAAAAAAGCTTGTCACACCTATTTCTAATAACTAGACTCTTTCATTATAAAACAAGACTAGATTTTTTTGTTTTATTGTAAAACAAAAATAAAACTTAAAGTAATACTCTTTCTAGATAGTTAGGGACTAACTCACATACAGCATATTATCTTATGGTGCAATAGTACATTCCATGTAAATATACTATACCATACTCATCCATTAACTTCTTATTTATCATCATCATTTTCAAGATTGGGAATCAAAGAATCCCAGTAGGACCAAGTGATTTGACCAGCATCATCTCCTGAGTCTGTGACTAGGGAAGAAAATTCTTTGTTTCCACAAAGCCAATCTACTTACTGACTAACAGTTAGGGAGTAAGCCTTTCTATGCTCTTTTTAAGTAATAGTATTGTTTCTACTCTCCTGGAGCAGAAACCCATGCATTGGAAAAATACAAGTAACTATTTCTTGCAATATTTATTTCATGAATTTACCCAAACTCAATTGTAAGAGATTTCTTCCCCTTGGCTATGCAAATTTAAAGGGGTTTTTCACATTGATTAAAATTAATAGTGGTATACTCAAATACAAAGTTTTTCAACTGAAAAATTAATGTAACTAAGCTTTTCTAAACTTTTACTCTTTTGCAATTGAAATAGCCTTAAGCTCATTAAAACAAATATCTTTCAAAGTGCATCCAACATTAATTATTTCAAAACCACACAAAACTTTAACTTTCTTAAAAGTGAGGACTATTTTTAAATGATTTCAAGTTGTGATGGGTCTCAAGGATCGACTGTGCCTTCATTTGTAGGGAAAGTGCTTATTAGGGGTTTATTTGGGTTAGATCAAGCAGCTCTCCACATAAGGCCTGAAACAGGGAAATACATTTCCATGGAAGAGCTAGAACTGTGATGTAACACCATCACCTGTACCAGATTACTTTCTAGTAAAACTTAAATTTACCATGGGATTTTTTAAATTGAAAAACTACCCTTTAGATAATTTAATCTCTAAATAAACTTAATGCACTAAATTTCGGGATCCAAGCGCTACTTGCAATTTATGATGAAAGGCATTTATCCGTTCTCTCTGAACTGGCCAGTTCAAGATGCAGTGAGATTTAAACATTCCTCTTCGCAAACAGAGTGCATGGTTTAGTTTATAATCCGGAATCTCCTCAAGAAAAATCAATATAATGGAATCCAGATTTTGTTCAATTGCTTGCTGAACTGCATGGTGCACCTTGAATCTAAGCAAAATAATAAATAAATAAGTTAAATAATCAATATACAGTTTCTAACAGCCAAAAGTTCAACAATTGGAGATTGTGGAATCTGCTTCAATCTGCCACTAAAAATCAGGATTCTTAAAGTTTTATTTTCAAAATTCTTTGAGCTGTGAGTAGTAATACTAGAAAGTTTAATTGAAAAACAAGTGCATATTTAAAATTTCACAATGTTTACCTACCTTTTGCATAATGGATCTTTTAATAGATGCTGTGTAATAACAAAAATAATTTTTCTGCTCCTTTTAATACTATTAACAATTGCTTCAAGTCCAAGGACACCTGCCTCAAAGTCCCTTTCTTCCAGACAAAATTTGAGAGATTGGTCTTTTTCTTCCATTGAGGAGAAGTGTTCCCAGACCCAATCTCTATCTTTATGGGCATGAATTATATATGCTGTATATTCAAACTTCTCTGATTGTCCATCTATTTCCTTGAAACCAAGAACTCGGTGTACTGAAACATTCCAATAAAAAGATATCCTCCAACCCTCCAGGTGAATAAGTAGTACAACAAAGATAAAAATCAATATCATGCTGGTACTGATCATGAACAGGAGTTCAAAGGGGGCACTGTCTTTGCAGGATGATGTATCAAAAAGCATCACTGGGAATCCATGATATTGAGGTGGAGTGTTGCAGAGGTAATGCCTTGATAGCTCAGAGATGTTGGTATGGGTCTGATTAATCCAGTTAACAAACCAGGCAATACTTTCACAGGTACAATCAAACGGGTTAAAGCTCATATCTAAATCACTCAGGTTCTTAAAAACTGGCCCAAACACATTCTTTTCAACTGATGTTATGAGGTTCTTCTGAAGGTTCAGGAACTTTAGAGACACCTGGTCATCAAAGACAGACGGTGGAAGTACATTTAAATTATTCAGTCCCAAATTGATGCTTTTGAGTTCAAATAAGTCCTTGAACACCTTGACTGGGATTTCATCAAAGCCATTAGACTCTAAATTCAGGATGTGGAGGTGAGAAAGACCCTTCAGAAAATGAACAGGACCACCAGGGTTTGCATGTTTCCACAGCCGTGCTAAATTGTTATGCTGCAAATCCAGAATTTCTAGCTTCTCAAGACCCTTCAGTAGTTCATCATTTATATTGGCTATATTGTTGTTGCTTAGATCCAGAATGGTCAAGTTATGAAGAGGGCTGAAAGGTGAAGGGGAGTTCTCCAGATTTCTCAGGGCCACTCTCCGGAGCATAAGTCGTTGAAGGCTCGGAACAAGAGCAAAGGAGTTGCTAGTCAGTTGTAGGTATTTGTTGTAGGAAAGGTAGATTTCATAAATATTTTCTAGACCTCTCCATTCCTGGCCTGTGAGTTCTTGCCCGATTTCATTGAGGCCAAGGTCAAGCACCTTTAGGTGGCCCAACCAAGAGAAAGCACCACTCTCTATTTTTGAGATTTTGTTTTTGGTTAAGTTGAACAAGAGTAAAGGAGAATGAGCAAGTGATAAAAACGTTTCATTTGTTAGAGTTTGCAAACTTGTGAAAGAGTTGGATAGAATTAAGTATCTCAGATTTACCAATCCAGTGAACATATTGCTTTTGATGCCAGGAAGATTGTTATCTTCCATATTAAGGTACTCCAAACATTTTAGCCACTGAAAGGAAAAGTCATCAATCTGGGGAAGTGAAGCAAGGGAAATACCTTGTTTAGTAAAAGATCCCTTCAAATTCAGGTATCTCACATTGGAAAGTCCATAAAAGGAGTGAGAAGACAAATGCTGTATATTATTATACTCCAGGAAGAAATATTTCAGATGCGAAAGCCAAACAAAGGAATTGTTACCAATCACATTTAAGTTGTTGTGGGAAAGATTGAGCGTGGTGAGATTTGTCTGTTTGAGTCCAGAGAAAGTCATGTTGCTGGTTCTGTACAACTGAATGTTACTCAGAGAGAGATTCTGGATGCTCGTGCTAGATAATTCCAAACAAAGCTTCTCAGTGAGACTGGGGCCCAGTTGGACATTGTTCAAGGAGAGGCCAAACAGTTTTCCAATTGCATGAAAACATCCTGGAGAGAACTAAAGATGGAGAGGGGAAAAGGTTAATAACCACAATCTATAATTAGGCTCTAATCTGGGCAAGGTGGCGCATGCCTGTAATCCCAGCAGATCAGGAGGCTGAGGCAGGAGGATTATGCGTTCAAAACCAGCCTCAGCAAAAGCGAGGCACTAAACAACTCAGTGAGACTCTGTCTCTAAATAAAATACAAAATAGGGCTGAGGATGAGGCTCAGTGTTTGAATGCCCCTGCAACCTGTTCAATTTGAGGTTCAATCCCCTCAAAAAAAAAAAGGCTCTGTATGACCCTTGGAAAACTTAAATGTGGTTCTTTATTGGGTCTCCCTTCCCCTTTCACTACATTCCCTTGGGCAGGGCATCTCTCTCCATTCCTCAGAGCTTTTTCCTGACTCTGTCCCTGTACCATCCACTGTTCCAGCCTCTCACCTCCCCAGGCCACTGGCCACTTCTCTTTGGTGTTCAGAGCTCAATTTAGATGCCACTTCTTGAGGGGGTTGTCCCAGATCTCCTATTCGAGACTTGTGGTACTTTTTTTTACTTTATCCTACTGATACAACTGTAACTAATGAATTCTCTGTGAAGTCACCACTGGGGAAGATCCTGGCTTTATCTTGGTGACAGCCTGTCAGTGAACATTATGGAGGGAAATAACGGACAGCTTTTATCATGAAACAGTGACACACACTTTCCCTTCTGACCGCTGGGTTCTAGCTACTTTTCAGGTTTTCTACCCAGGTTTTCTCCTGACTTTATTTTACTATACTCTTTCTGACTCCCCTCTGCCTACTCCCATTTCCCTATTAGAAACCTTGTCTGTTTTGGGACTCAATGATGGGCCATGAGATGAGAAGGAGGGAGACAAGGGATCCAGAGAGGACTGTATGAGTCCCTGGCAGTTAAACCCACCAGGGGAGCTAGAGCGATCTGATTACTAATGTGTTACTTGTGAGAGGTTTGGGTGATAGAAGAAAACGTGAAAGAAAGCGTGCTTCCTCGAAAATAACAGAAATTAGAATGCAAAGCAGGAAATTATTAAATTAAATAAATTATTAATTGTTAAATACGATACATCTACATGGTAGCATTATTTTTGTCACCATTAAAATTAAATTTTTGGACAATTCTTAATTGCATGGGAGATGTGCATGATATGACACTAACTTTAGAGCAGGAAGCATTCTTACCCTCAGGAGGCAATGTAGCACAGTTGGTGAGAACATGGGCTCTGGTCACACTGCCAGGAACCCAGCTCTATAATCAGCTGGGTTCTGAAGGACCCTGGATATGTCACTTTTCCTTTCTTCATCTCAGTTTACTCTTGTGCAAAACGACCATCAGAGTAAGTTGATTAAAACAATTATGTACATAAAATATTTAAAATAATTTGTTATATGCTTGGCACTCTGTTAGGTACTATGTAAATTTTAGTTGTTGCTGTTTTTTCTCATAATTATTTGGAAAATAATGATGAATATACCCAAATGCTAAGTGCTTGTTTCTGATTATAGATTTCTGAGTGATTTTTATTAGCATTCATTTTTTATTACCCCTTATTATTTACATATTTTATGTGATGATGACAATACATTTCAATTAAAAAAATGCTATTTAAAGAATAAAATGAGTGGCTTGCTCAAAAATATTTCCTTGTCATCTCAGGATAATTTTGAATAGTCTTTTCATTTGAAAAATAATATAGCTTTTGAGAAGCTGTTCTAGCTAAGAACTTCCAATCTTCCTTAGCCTGTAAAAGTATAAAATATGTGTAAAATACAGACATAGCTGTGTATGAAAATAGTTCACCTGAAATAGTTACCTAGAATACTACATTAAAGGATATTATAAACATAGTGCAAGCTATCATTTCTTGAGCTCGTACTATGCAACAGGTACTGTACTAAATTCTTTACTATGTGGTTCTATGAAGTACAGTTATTTTTATACTAGTTTGAAAGCTGGGAGACTGAAGCAGAGAGAAATTGAACAACTTGCTTCCATTACATCACTAAAAGATTAAAGTCCACACAGAGGAACAGCTGCCTCAACTCTAAGAGCTGTGCTCGTAGCCATTATACTATTTTATTTCTTTCAGAGATTTTGTGAGATAGAGAGTATTATTTTCATTTTAAAGGTAAGGAAAATAAGATCAGCAATTTTCTCAAGGTCAAAGAATAAAATGGCAGAGGGATTTTAACACAGTGCTGTTTGGTGGCAGAACCCCACCTCCTAACCACTACCAAAACTCTGTCTTGACGATGGTACCAACGGCCCTAAGCAATAAGTGTGCGGCATTTTTGGAAGATATTGTGAAGGTTACAATTTTTTTTTTCTCTAAGATTCTTTAGTGTCCTAGTGTGACACAGGAGAGATGATACTGACTAAAAAGTAGAATACAAAATAACTTTACCGTATTTCTTACCTGTTTAATTTGATTTGATGACAACTCTAATTTTCGTAAAGAAGAATTGCCAAGGAAATCAAATTCTTCACTTCTTAGTGCACGAATTTTATTATTTGATAATATAAGCTCTTGGAGATTTTCCAGTTGGAGTTGAGTTCCTAATTTTGTAGATGATAAACCATTATGAGACAGGTCTAATACGATCAAATTCTGAGCATAAAAGAAAAATAATACATATGTTAGAGTCTCACTTTTAAAAATAGCTCCTCTAAATTTAAGTCAATCTCAGAAATATCTCAATATCAAAATGTCACCTGTTGTTCTATAGAGAACCAGTAATAGGAGTATAAATCACATTGGTGGTGATTAAAAACACTATTGTTGCAAGGATTTAGTTTCTTTCTTTAAAGTCACTTTATTCATCTTACCAAAATAAAAGCTTATTTATTTATTATAGAAAAAAATCATAGTTTATTTTCAATAAGTATTTATGATGCAAGAAATATCCATGTGGCTTATCTAACATGTAGTCTTATATATTAATCTTGAAAATAAATAACAGGAAAAAGAATAACATTTACTTTAATAAACATGCATAAAACTTTGCCATCTATAAAATTCTAGAAAGACTTTTGTGCTGAGAAATATTTGAAGTTATATAAATTTGGGGTCATACTAACACAGAAATATTAAATTTGTTTTGTCAGTATTGGGGGTGTTTATCACTCTATCTTACTTTTGAACATGTTAACTTCAAACTCAGGTAAAAGGTAAAGAAAAACATGGTATCCATTAGGGAAGAAATCTAATGTGATCCCCATTAAAGAGAATAAGACTTTTATTTATGTTTTAAAAAGAAAAAAAAAACATTTTTGTCAATAATTTCTCAAATCAGATTTTGAAGTATTTGTGTCCAAAGACATTTCATCCACAAGAAAATTTAAGAAGGCACAAGAAAAGATTTAGAATAGCTAGTCAACAAATCACCTTATTAAGGTTTCTCAGCATATTTAAATTTGTATGTTGCTCTTGGCCTCTAAGGAGGTAGTATGCTCCATTTTTTTAATAAGGCATATGAAGAAAACAAAAAGACTAGAAAATGACTTTGTTTTAAGAAGACACTTAAAAATTGCTTCAGAATTATAGATAAAAACACACATTTGTTCACAGATTTCAAATTCAAGTAAGGTGCTGAAAAGAAAGAAGTAGTAGCTATTGGAAATGTTGATCCTTTAAGGATATTCCTTCAATAACAAGTAGATAATTTTTAGTAAATATTGTGTTTATCATTATATCAACTCCTTAGCTTTTTTAAAGTCAGAATTTGGACCCAACATTTTTTTTTACTACCTCACATAGTACATCATCAGCTTTGTGAATTTATTTTCCATGATCCCCATGAGACTGTCCAATGTTTCTTTCCTATTAGATGACTCCTACTTTTTGTATCTCAGTCATATTTTGGGAGTAAGCAAAAGAGGTAGATTTCTTTAAAATTAAGGTTGAAACTGATTTAAGACTATAATTTTGAAAACAGCTTCAAAACCAATGGCAAAATCTGTGTATGAGTCCCCCCAGTCCCAACTGGGTAAACCATATTCCTTACTCTTATCTTGATACTTAGATATGAAGTGTAAGGCCATGAATAAATGACTTGAAAACTTACCACTGGACAACATAACTTCATATTTCTGAGATGGAAATGATCATTCCCACCTTACCTTCTGGTTTTTAAAAGGGTTGTTTTGAATTTTCTGGATTGAGTTGGACATTAGATGGAGCTCCGTCAAATTCAAGCAGAAGGCAAAGGTTGTATCAGAAACGTGAGATAGCTCATTGTGTTGGAGGTTCAAAATTTTCAGCAAGGGGAGATTCTGGCACAATTCTGGCTCGAATTTTGAAATGGTATTAAATCCTCCATCCAAGATGGTAAGTTGGCTATATCTTGTAAAGTTGGCAGGTGGCAATCTTCTGAGTTGGTTATGGGAAAGGTCCAATGTGGTTATGTTTACTGGGAGGTCATTGGGTATTTCAGTCAACTTTAGATGACTGCAGTCAGCTTCCTCATGTCTCACAGTGCATTTGTTGGTGGAAGATGTACACAGAATCCAATGGGGCCACAGTCCCCAAAAGAAGTAGATATGATAAGGTAAATGCAGCCTCATGATTCTGCCCAATGAAAGAAATATGAAAAAAACAATGGACAACATTATTAATACATGCTTTCACATGCATTGGAATATTCCTTGTAAAATACATAACCAAAACATGACTATGTGTGATGTTATTTACCCACGACTTTTATGCTATATATTATACAAGTAGTATACCACACGGAAATAATTCAAATAGCACAGAAAGATGAAAAAGAGAAACATACCAACTCTTTTCTTGTCCTGTACCTCCACGCCAGTTGCAATCTTCAAAAGTAAGCTCTCTTGACAGTTTCTATTTTAAATTCTCATGATCCCCTTCATAAACTTATCCTTTTATCTTCGCTGACGTTGAGCCTTTACTTCCCACTATAAAAACAGAGAACATAATCACACTCCTTCCTTATTCTTTTCACCATTTATCCTCAGTGATTGTTTACTTTACTTAATCTATTGTGTCATTTATAATTTTGAAGACTATATCTAAAATGATAAATCAGCCAACTTTAGTCAAAATTTTTATTTTAGTGAAATAAAAATTATTTTATTGACACAAAATAATTAATTGTACCTATCTATAGGGTAAAACTGTGATATTTCAATACTCAGATCAGAGTAACTGGCATACCCATTACCTCAAACATATTATTATTTCTTCGTGTGGAACATATTCAAAATCCTTTTTACAAGCCATTCTGAAATATGCAACTACTTTATTGTCAATCACCATTATCCTACTGAGCTACATAGAAAGTCTGAAATTACTCCTGCTGTCCAGCTCCATCCTTGGACTTGCTGACCACCCTCTCTCCCTACTCCACTCCCCACCTCTTCCAGTCTCTGGCAACTAATGGTCTATAATTCCATGAAATCAACTGTTTTCACTTTGACGTGTAAATGAGAACATAAGGCATTTGTTTTTCTGTGTCCGACTTATTTCACTTAACGTAATGTCCTCCAGGCTCATAGAACATAATGGGCATCCATGGTTTTACTGACTTTAATTAAGCACTTTTTTCCCACTAAGAAATTTAATTACACTATTTCCTCATTCTCTTCCCAACTTTTCTTTAGTTTTAAATTTTAATGTTATATTTATAATCTTGAAGAGTATACCTAGAATTATATTTCTTGTGCAACCAACTTTACACAAAAATCTCCTGGGACCTCATTTTGTGATACAAGAAATGTACACTCTTGTGTTTTCTCCACATTTCTTCCATCCTTACATTTCCTAAAACTGTCAGCTATACCATTGCTTGATATTGTCATGATAAGAAATGTTAGCATTCATCCTGAAAGTATGACTAAGCATGCAATACTTAGTCTAGATTAATTTGAAAAACCTAAAGTTAACAAATGTCACTTACAACTATATAAGTATATATTTATTGTAGCTTCAGTAAAACTCAGAGAAACATAAAGATTAAGAGGACAGACCCTGGAGTTACCTCAACTGCATTCTGTTCTTGGGGCCTCTGCTTTGTAGCCTTTGGTAAATTAGTTCATTTCTCGGTTCTTAGTTTTCTCCTTCATAGGGTGTTATGAGGATTAAAGGAAGTAGTATAGCCTAAGAGTACTTGGCATAAAGCAGCAATTATAGTAATTTCTATTACTATTAGATCAGTGTGATAATCTCATGATCTCTATATAGATAATTACAATTATGTTCTATTTGATAAAATTGTCACTTTATAGAGAAAGCTTACGAAAAAGACAATGTGTATCATGAGATTTTTCACAACTAACCACTAAACAAGAAGGCAATAGTAAAGATTACCAATAGGGTCAACTCATTGAAAATCAGAGAACTTCAAGAATGGTAAAAAGGATTCCAGAAGCTTCTTATTAACTGGACCTTGGATTAGGGGAAGAGTACACCATTGGCTGCCTTCAGAGGTTGAGCAGCAACCAGCGTTCTCCCTGAACAATTTCAATCAATCTTCCTACAAGGAGATCCATGTCTTTCAAACTGGTCTGCTTTCAATTTCATTTTAAAGAATAAAAAAAATGTCTTGGGTTGTGAGGCATCCATGGGTCACTAGATATTTGCTAGTATATCATCAACAAAATCCAAAGGGCTTTGGAAGTTTTAATGATAACATTTATACAGTGAATAAATAATATTTCTCATGAAATATTACATAAACTACTTTGATATTTTTAATGGTGATTCTTATAAATGAAATGAATCCCATTTGATGTTTTAAATGAGTGCTTTAAGGAGCCTAAATTACCAATCACAGCTTTACACATAGAGATGAAAGGAAGATTCTAATTTATGGGATCTTTGCACTCAATACAGTTTTTAAAGAATAAATACTGCCCATAAATAAAACAGAAGTGCAGAATTGTACAGTGAGTTGAGTGCAAAAGATGTCACCCTATGCCTCTTAGCAGATGACCCTATAATGATGAAGGCAACATGGATTATTCCCCATTTTAACTAATCAATTCTTCAGAATAATGTCTTTTTCAGTTTGCTGTCTGAACCATGACTTCCTTAAAGTCTATTATTCCCCCTGTTTGATTCTTGTTAAAGTAAGCACTCATCTACCCTCTTAATCACATGCTGAATCACCAATTTGGATAAATGAGTAAATGTATGGATGGACGGGTAGGTAGTGGGTGGATGGATGGATGAATGGATGGGTGGAGGAGTGGGGGGTGGATGGATGGGTGGAGGAGTGGGTGGGTGGGTGGATGAATGGGTGGACAGGTAGACTGATGGATGGATGGATACATATAGCTTGCTGCATGGCTATCATCACAAACTCTATTGCACTGCGCTCTTGAGTTGATGTCACTCTCTTATGGATTTAAGTATATTTTCTCTTGAAATATTTTTATTCTGACTGGAGTACCTCCTTGAGAAGTTCTTCTACTGCCACCCCCGTCTTGCTTTTGTTCCTTTTGTCTTCAGTGATTTTGATGTATAGGCTATATGAAGTTTAAGCACTTTTGATGCTCAATTATAAAGGCATTATTTCACCACCTTCCAGTGTCCAGGGCGGTAAGAAGTTTGATGATGCCCATCTGATTTTCCTTCCTTAACATAAAGGACATCTTCATTGCATTTCCGTTTTACACTTTAAAGTTTTTTTATTGTATTTATCCTCAGTAATGTAAAATTTCACAAAGATATTTCAAGCTTTCTTTTCTTTAAAACATAGTTATAAGCTCAACAATATTTTCAATGTGAAGGTTCATGTTTTCCTTAAACTTCTATAATTTCTTATTTTCTATTATTTCCTGGATCATTTCCTTTCCTACTTTTCTATATTCTCTTCTTAGGAACTACATTTAGTTAGACAATGACTCTCCAGTGTAATCCTCTCTATATGTCAATTTTATATTTTCCTTTCTTTTTGTCTTTTTATTCTATGTGTCTAGACCTGAGCTCAGCTTGACTGACAATGTGGGTTTTTTTTTGTTGGTTGGTTGGTTGGTTGGACCTTTTTTTTTTTTTTTTTAGATTTTAGCAATTATATTTTAAATACATACAGAACAGCTCACAAATCACAAATGTGAAACCTGTTGAATATTCACAAAATAAGCATGTCTATGTAATCAATACTTGGATCAAGAAATGAAGGATTATGACACCCAAGAAATCTCATGACCCTCCTCCAGTCATCACCTTCTCCTTCCCCAAAGCAAGAACTTTGTTATTTCCTATACAAAAGTTTAGCTGCTGTGTAGTACATAATAATGAACTTAATGCCTTATAGCCATCCTTCCTTAGCCACAGTTTCACTCTCTGAAGTTTCAGTTACTTGTGGTAAAACATGATATAAAAATATCACTATAGTGCAATAAGGAATGAGGAATTAAGATGTTTTAGAGAGACTGAGCACACTAACATGGACTTTTATTACAGAGTAGTGTTATAATGATTCTACTTTGTTATTAGTTATTTTTATTAGTCTCTTATTGTGCCTAAGTTATATATTAAATTTTATATAGGTATGTATGTATAGGAAAAATTACAGTATATAGACATCATTCTGAAGAAGTCATTAATTACAAGGGGGAATACACACACACACACACACACATAAATGTCTCATAGCACATTGCTTTGATCGGTCCATGGTCACCTGCTAAGAGGCACAGAGTGACATCTTTTTCACACAGCTCACTGTGCTCTGCTACACTCTTGTCATATTTATGGGCAGCATTAATTCCTTAAAAACTGTATAGAACACAAAGATCCCATAATAACAGCATTTGTTCATTCTCATTGCTATAGATATACCACACTTAATTCTTTTGTCCGTGGCATGGTTACACCAAAGTTAATTTTTCTGACATTTTAAAATCAAAATATACAGCACCATTCAATAACATTATAGGGACCATGCTTGTGTTATCATATATCTACTCATTCATCCATCATCACTTCACAAACATGTACATTCTTAACTACAGCGTTTCTCGTTTGTGGAGTTGTTCTTTAGATGTAGGATTCACATTTAATGAAATACACAAATCTTCAGTGTACATCCTCTGAGTTCTGACGAATGCATACATCTGTGCAGTGCAAACCCTACAGTTTCCTCGTCCCTTTTATTTTATTTTTGTTCCCACTCTTACTTCCCAGAGGTAGGCACTGTTCTTTTTCCCACTAGACATTCGTTTTCTGTGTCTTACACACATCACATTCATTCTCTTTCGCATGTTTTCTTTCATACTCAGCATATTAGTTTTCAAATTTATCCACATTTATTATTTCTGTAAGCAGTCTTCCTTTATCTATGGGACATATTTCAAAAACCCCAGTGGTCATCTGATACCACAGATAATATCAAACTCTCTGGATGTCACACTTTTCCCTACACATATAAACCTATAATAAAGCATAATTTACAAATTAGGCACTGTGATAGACGAACAACAATAACTAACAATAAAATAGAACAATTATAACAATATACAGATGCTCCTTAACTTACAATGGGATTATATTCCAATAAACCCATTGTAAGTTGAAAATACTAAAAGTGAAAAGCACATTTAATACATGTATCTTATTGAACATCATAGCTTAGCAACACAGTACACTATAGAATATTGATTATTAACATGATTATGTGGCTGACTGGGAGCTGCAGCTTTCTGCTACTGCTCAGCATTTCAATAGATTATTGTATTACATAATGCTAACCCAGATGAGATCAAATTCAAAATTAATTAGTTTCTACTGAATGTGCATTGCTTTCACACCTTCATAATGTCAAAAATGTTTTAAGCTGGGGACATTTAATAAATTTTTAAATAAAATTGCCAGCATTACTATTCTTGCATTTTGATATCATTAAGTAAAAGCAAGTTTACTTGAAAATAAGCATTGTGATACTGTGACAGAAAATCTGATAACCAAGACAAGTATTAAGTGACTAATGGGTGAGTAGCCTATACACCATGGATACATGAAACAAAGTAATGATTCATATCCCAGATGGTACTGAGTGAGATAGCATGCAATTTCATTATGCTATTCATTATGCTACTTGCAAATTATTTATTTCAATAACTTTCAAATTATTTATTTCTAGAATTTTCCATTTAATGTTTTCAGACTACAATTGACCATGGATAATTGTTAGGGTCTGTAAACAAGTCAAGATGGCGCCTGGCATTTTGCCAGAGGAAGTGGTTTGTGAAGTAACTCCAGCGAGCCATTATGTGTGGAGATTCCTTATTGGTTGACTGCTGTATCTAGTTTATGTTAATTAAGATAAGCTGTGTGTAATGTATATATACCCCTCCGGTCCTATAATAAACGGCTCCCACTCCTGCTGTATCAATGTACACAAGTTGCTCGTCACCCCCCTGTTATTTTGCTGCAGCCGGACTGCTGCAGATAATGGCAACTATAGAGAGAGAAATTGCAGATAAGGAGGAAATACTATATATTTTTTCTTTCACTTTTTTAATCGAGTAGCATACTTTATCCATGCTTATATAATAAGATGCTTATATAATAAGATGCCTGGATTGCTTGAAATTTCTCACCATTGTGAATAAATTCCTCACAAACATTCTTGTACAAATCTTCACAGACATATGTGTTCTGTATCTTTTGTATAAGTACTCGGAATTGGGATGTTTGGGCCAATTGGTATTAACATTTGATACTATTATTCCTTTCATTTGATCTTCTTTGTGAGTATGTATCCATAGGTAACTATTTTTTAATTTGCATTTTCCTGCTGACTAATCACATCTAAAAATCCCTTTGTGCTTATTGTCCATATATACTATTGTACACGCAAAGATTATGTTCGTTTATTAATTAGGTTGTTTTGTTTTTAGTATTGTTATCAACTTTTTTATATATCTGGGTATCAGTCCTTTGTCAGATTCATATTTTCATGACATTTTCTTCCAGTTTGTGGATTGCTTTCTCATTTTGTGAATGTCTTCTCAATTATGATGAAGTCAAATTTAACATTTTTTCTTCTATTTTTATTGCTTTCTGGGTCTTAAGCAACTTTGCTTACTCCCAAATTTTTAAAATATTCTTCTTTAAAAAATTATGATTTTTAGCCAGCACGGTGGCACTCGCCTATAACTACAGCAGCTCAGAAAGTTGAGGCAGGAGGATCTCCAGTTCAAAGCCAACCTCAGCAAAACAAGGCACTAAGCAACTCAGTGAGACCCTGTCTCTAAATAAAATACAAAATAGGGTTGGCGATGTAGCTCAGTGGTTGAGCGTCCCTAAATTCAATCCTTCATACCGCCCCCCCCCCAAAAAAATACCATTTTAGCTTTCATGTGAAATTCTGTGATTTCTGATAAATTAATTTTCACGTATGGAGTGAAGCAGATGTCAGGTTCATTTTTTTTCATGTGTATATCTAGTTAGACGATAGTTTTAAAAGGACTTTTCCTTCTTGCTCCTGCATTGCTTCTGTGCCTTTCTAAAAAACCAAATACCTCAGTGTGGGTCTATTCCTGGGCTCTCTGCTCTCTTTTACTTTCTTTGTCAGTTTTTATGTCAACACCACACTGTTTTGATGACTATAATCTTTTCATTTTGTTTTTATTTTTCGGTATTGGAAATTGAACCCAGGGGCACTTAAGCACTGAGCCATGTCCCAGCCCTTTTTTGTATTTTATTTAGAGACAGGGTCTCACTGAGTTGCTTAGCATGACTAAGTTGCAGAGACTGGCTTTGAACTGGTGATCCTCCTGCCTCAGCCTCAGAGCTGCTGGGATTACAAGTGTACATAGTGCATGGCTCATATAATTTTATAGTAAGTCTTGAAATCTGAAGTTTAAATCCTCTCATTTTGTTCTTCTTTTATCAAATCGCTTCTTCCATCCTGTGGCTGATGAGAATTATCTAATATTATTTACTTGTTAATCATTCCTCCTCACTAGAATGTAAATGTATAGTAGAGGCTATGGTAGCTTTTATTTCATACAGTATTGCCTGTTCCTACAAGAATGCCTGGAACATAGTTGTTTCATATATAAACAAATACCTGTTAAATAAATAGCTTTCCAATGGGGATTTAATCAGCTCAAGAAAACCACTCTTATCTTATTTTGGTGGGTGTATACCCAACATAGTACTGTCTGATGTAATCAGCAACCTAGTTTCACTTTGGAATATTTTTTAAAAAATGGAATGAATCCTCAGAGTGTGAAATGAATCAATGGTAATAATATTTAAATTGATTCCCCATAAGACCTAAAAATCATGACACAAGAATAAATCCAGGTAAATTTCAGAGAATAAAATACTAATCAGTGACTAATTCTAGAAAAATAGAACTAGTCTGAGTATTTAGAAATTACACTAATAAGTTTTACTGATATTTTAGTATAGTTCTCAGGGGAAATAAATAGCTTTTATAAACAAATATTCCAGCCTTTCAAGCCTTTATAATACTAGCATTAAATATTTAAAGCTGCACATAATTTTTATATCCAAAGGTTTTGAAGAACTCATGTTTGTACCTTGGTACAAAGGATGCACGTTACCAATTTGTTCAGGGGCATGAAGAATGTGGGGCTGATAGGATACATTCTGGAAATGAGGGACTGATTCCCCCCACCTCACCTGTCTGAGATTCTCCCCAACATTTCCTCTCCTAGTACCATAAGGACTTACTACTTCTACCTACCAACTCAGAGGTACAGTCCTGCAATGTATTCTTCTTGTTCAGGAGACATTTATTCCTCTGGACCAGCGGTAGATAGAGATCAGAATTACCTAGAAGGACTATTGCATTTACAAAGCATGTCTCTTAATGATAAAGACCTTCCTAGATCTGAAAACATACTTCATCTGAAGGGAAACACTTACCAAGTGATAAGCAGGATGCATGAAAATACATGGAAAGGATCTTGCAAAATTTCAGAATTGTGACCGTTCACCAAAAAGTCCTGTAAGGAGAGAGATAATAGATTACTTCCAAAGGAAAGAGATCCTGATTGGTATTAAAACTCTTCATCAATCACACAAACCACTAGAAAACAATACAAATAAACTTTCAAAATGTTAGGGGAAATTATCTTGAATCTAAATTTCATGGCCAGCTAAACAATGAAAGAAAAGGAAGTGATATTTTGAGATTGGCAAAGATTCAGTAAGCTTATAACCATGTAATCTGCCGGGCACAGTGGCCATGAACCTGCTGGGCACAGACAGACAGTTGCCACGAACCGGCTGGGCACAGTGGCACAGGCCTGTAATTCCAGCAGTCGCTCAGGTGCTTGAGGCAGAAGGATCACGAATTCAAAGCCAGTCTCAGCAATTTAGCGAGGCCCTAAGCAACTGAAACCCTGTCTCTAAATAAAATACAAAAAAGGGCTGGGGATGTGCCTCAGGGGTTAAATACTCTTTGAATTTACTCCTCAGTACCAAAAAACAAAAACATCCAGAAAACAAAACAGAACTATAACCATTCAACCTGAAGGAAAAATTATTGTAAGACACACTTTAATAAATCAAACAAAAAAACAGCTTAAGGATGAGATGAGAGTGAATAACTAGTTGCTATTGAATGAGATCCAACAGAAACAAAAAAAAAAAAATGAAGGAAAGAAAGAAAAAATTTCATGGTTACTTGCAATTTTGGAAAATTTTTTAAGGTGCATAAAATTACTTTTCATTTTGATAGATGATAGTATTGCATTATGGTTAGGATCTGGAGTCTGAAGCCAGGATACTTGGAGTTAACTACTATTTACAGGTGAGTTTGTGTGGTTTGGTTTGTAAACTTTGCAATATTTTTTTCTAAGTTGATACACAGGTACCTATATGCAGACACATACTAGCACATAGTCACAACTATAAAGTTGGAATTGCTGGAACTTTAATACCACTGAAGGCTGCCTTTATTTTCACCTATGTACCCCACAATTGCTGATGCTAATTTCTGATCTTTCTACACATCTGAACATCTTTCCAAATCTCATTTTCTATTATTAAATAAAAGCCATCTATGTACTCCTAGGAACACCTGAAGAGTTTTTTTCTTTTTCAAGCTCATTACTGAAAAGGACCAGCTCCTGTCTCCTTTCCAGTCAACAAAACCGAGAAACAGACCAAGTTTTCTAAATTCCTAGAATGTGATTTTTTAAAGTGTGACTTAAAAAAAAAAAAGTTATTGCAAAATAATTTCCATAGTTTTCCTTAATGTGTAATTCCAGGTACAGAATTCTACAGAGAAAGAATTTAATTTTTTTTTAAATTGCTGCATAAAATGTTATATCATCTTACATATTTTTTTGCTATTATTTGTATTCTGATTTATGACACAGTTCTGTCCATACCTGTCTCATCCCATTTCTTCCATTTTCCGTGTTGAATGGTTCTGACACGATTTCCAGCACCAAAGAAAGACTGATGAATGTTAAAATCAAAGTGAGTTCTGACTTTACTCAGCAAGAGAAATCCTGACCCCTCAAAAGAATTTAAAATATATACCTTCCCTTTGATGATGGTTGCCGGTTCCTTGTTTTTCATGAGTTCACATCCAGACGTTTATCATCGGGGAAATGTGCGTGGTGAGCTTACTGCAATCTCGAAAGTGAAACTGAAGTTAAAAAAAAAAAAAAAAAAACACAACTAGGCGTTTGTATTTGGTGCATTCAAAAGAGGGCAAAGGTAGTGGAGGGCTGGAGGGGGGCGGCGGGGACAACCAGGACAATCTCGGTGCAGTGTAAATTGCTTCTTAAAAACGTCTCATCTGAAAATATTTTGGTATCCTCTCCTGGATTTCATGGAAATGATCACGAATTTAACAATGGAGAAAGTTGAAAGGGTGGGAACCCGGGTTTACTGTGGGCGGGGCTGGAATTGCAGAAGTTAAGGAATAAAGTCTTAAACTGGCAGTGAATCCTTCTACTTTTTGCAGACTGTGGCAACCGCTGTCCGATTTGAGTAGTGTGTGGTGAGAGGGATGGAAAAAGAAACTTCAGTCCCTGATGGAATCTAAAGCACTTTCCCTTCGCTTATCGTGCTTTATCTTTTCTGCAGACGCAGACCTGTGAAATAAGCAAGGCAGAATTTAATCTCTTGATCAAAGAGGAAACCAAGTTTCCCAACTGAGAAAGAGCTGGCTGTCGCAAAGCCAAGAGCCAGTCCTAACTCATTCCAGTCCACTTTTCTAGTCGATACTTGTTAGAGATCAAATAGGTGTGTCCAGAGAAAGTTTAGATGCACTCTTTCATTCTCAATTAGCTTTGATGACTCCAATTAGTGAAAGGAATGTGCTTCCAGGGAAAGAACTCACAGTCTTTTATTATTGTTGTACAATGGTTTTTATGACCAGATTGTTATACAGTAAAATATAACAAGCAGAAGGAACTATAGAGGACATCTAATTTAACATTCTTCTATGAGAAATGAGGAAAATGAAACCTAAAGAGGTGAGTGATTTGCCTAAGGACCTAACACATGTTACCACAATGGTTCTTTATGCAAACAACTTATAAAACAGTCTCAGAAATTTGAAATATGTAGATAACTTGAATTGATTGCAGAATTGATAAAAAAGAAATAAGTTTTCATCTTGGGGCAAATTGTTCTCTTCTGACTCAGTCTTCACTCAACCATCCTGTCATTACAGGGCTCTTGATTACACTTTTCTGATTTTTCAGTTATAACATCTATAAAATAATACCACAAGCAGCTATCCAGAGTAAATGATTGTCACCCACATCTACCCACTGGGATATGCAATAAAACCAATAGTCTTTAAAAGATTTCATCTCTGTGAGGTCTTTTAAGGCAGAACCATGTACATTCTTTGTATTATAACACTCTAGCCATCCTTCTATGGTAGATTGTTTCTTTCGCCTCCAATGAGCCATGCTCCTTTTCAGTATTCAACCATTATAAGGTCTTCTCCTACACTGACTCTGGGCTTGTCATGTGACTAGTTTGGGCCAATAGGGGATTAGAAAGTATGAAGGTAAGACTGCTAACCATAATTACCAATGCTTGATAAATACTTATATATTGGAATTCATTTTCTTGGAACACCTTCTCTAATATGCTTCCTTTTGGGAACTCAGCCTGTGCAAAGGATATGTGGGGAAGAATGGAGGCTCTAGCTACAGTTGCAACTGAGTTCCCAGAAGACAACTAGCTTCAGCTTGCTAGAAATATAAGCAAGTCAAATTGAGAACAGAACTTCTGATGCCAATTGAGTTACCCCAGTAATGTCAAATGGAACAGAAACAGGACTCCTCAATAAGTCCTACCAAAATTTCAGAAAAGCAAATGAATGATCGTGTTGCTTTAACTCAAAAATAATTTGGACTGGTATAGAATGTTTCATTAGATAAATCCAACACATTTCCTCCGTAACCTTTCACACCTATCTCTTATGTCTTATGTTTCCTTATATAGGTTAGATTTTTCATAAAGTTGGTTGCCTAGCAAATGTCTTTCAATAAATAATTTTATTAATGGTTTCATAATGCAATAATTGAATTAGACTTTTTAAAAATTTTCTAGTTGTGGTTGGACATAATGCCTTTATTTATTTTTTTATTTTTATGTGGTACTGAGGTTCGAACCCAGGGCCTCTCATATGCTAGGCCAGCAAGCCTTCCATTGCTGAGTCACAACCCCACCTCAGGTTTAGACTTAATGCTAGTTAAAATCCAGGTGTTCTTAGTACTCAATTCTTGCTCTTTTCTAAATACAACACAGGTCACTTTCTATCCAATGTACATTTCTTAATCATGCACTAACTCATTTAGGAATATGGCAGTAAGTGTTGCAGTAAAAATTTTTATTTTCCCCTTTATAAGATAATTAAATTAAAAATGTGCTATATGCTCACGAGTATAAAATAACAAATCCAGTGTTTACTGTCACTTTACAGCATTATACATCAGCCAGTCTCAAAGTGATTGTGAAGCTACAGTATTTGCAGCAGATCTACTGAATTGTAGAAGCCAAATTCCTTTAAATATACAATAAATTCCATTCTTTAACTGATGGGATTCTTTTTTTATGAGAATTTATAAGATAATGTGTACATAGAGTTTGGAAAAATAGCTTGAGAAAACAGAAATTTATAAATACACGAAGTGATAAATAATAATTTACCATTTATATATTTGTTAAACTACAAGCACATTGGTATCTTCTGCCTGCTAGTAACAATAATTATTAAATAATAATTATAAAACAGTAACTATTTTTAAATAACACTTTAAAACAGTTTAATTATAGGCAAATAATTTTTTGCCTATATTTTTTATTATAATTAAGGGTAATATATATCTACTGGGAACCTCTTAATTATGAGCTTTATAAAGGAGGACTTGATTACCCTTTTCATTATTGTCATTATTAACATCTGCAATACTACATTGCAGAAGACTCTATGGAACAATCTTTACAATCTTCCATATGGATTAAATTAGACATTAAAATTATATCATTGCAGCCAAGTGCAGTGGTGCATGCCTCTAATCCCAGCTGCTTGGGAGGTTGAGGCAGGAGGATTTCGACTTCAAAGCCACCCTCAGCAAAAGTGAGGTGCTCAGCAACTCAGTGAGTCCTTGTCTCTAAATAAAATACAAAATAGAGCAAGGGATGTGGTTCAGTGGTTAAGTACCCTTGAGTTTAATCCCCAGTACCTAAAAAAAAAAAAAAAAAAGTATCAATTAAAAAAATTATATCATTGCAGCTTTTGACCGCATATATAGAGAATTGAAATTGTGGGGCAAATAGGAGACTTTTCTCTCAATGCATCTATTTGAAAAGTCATGTAAATATTGAGTAGTAATTACACTTTGTCCAACTCTGTGAGAACTAATCACTGAGGAATACTTGAACTTGTCTCAGACTGAATATCTAATTCAATGGCTAGAGAACTAGTGGGTATTTAAGAGTCCATTTCAGGCATGGGTTTAATTTAGAACGATTCTTGAAGAACCTCAGGAGCAAGCCTTTACTAATGGAAACAAGGAGATCAGACTAACTAATCTCTGTGTTATCCACAGGGAGGCTACACATTTCATCATTACAACTTCTCAGGGGCACTTCATGTGATTGAGAAATTATGAACCTAAACACAAAAATTTTCCCTCGGAGAATTAGATAGTCATTGTGAACTCACTGGTCTGTCTTTGCAGTCACCATTCAGAAAGGATGTAGTTTTGCTCTGTATTGTCTGAAATTCTGGAAGGCATTTTTTTCCTCTTTGAACCCTTTCTCTAAAAGACACATGTAGTTCCTCTTTCCAGTGTCACTTCCATTTCTGCTCATTGAACTTCAACTAGTTTAAATAAAGTTGAACCAGAGGAAAAAATGTCAAAAATTTCAAGAAGAGAGGAAATAAGACTTATGTTCCCTCTCCCAACTCTCACTCATGTCTACTAAGCACAATTGAACTTGAACTTCCCCTCTGAGAAACCAATGTTTGCCACACAGCTTATGGTTGAACTTTTTTATTTTTATTTTTTTGTAATTTTATGTACAATTTGAAAAGAGGTAGCATCATTTTTTTTCTTTCATGGGGGTCTACCCCAGCTTCATTTTTTTCTTTCATTTTTTAAACTACTTCATTGAGATATGATTGACATCCCCAAATCTATACCTATTTATACAATTTGATAAGTTTGGAAATCAGTATTCACCTGTGAAACCATCATCACAATCTATATAAACTTACCCGTCACCTCCAAGAGTTGTCTCTACCTCCTATTATTATTATTTTTGTGGTAAGAACAATTATCATAAGATTGACCCTCTCAACAAATCTTTAAATACACACTATAATATTGTTAACTACAGGTATTATACTCTCCAGTAGATCTATAGGGCTCAGTCATCTTGTACAACATGAACTTTGTACCCTTTGACTAATTAACTTACTTGTTTATCTCCTTTCAGTTCCTGGCAACCACCATTCCACCATCTGCTTTGATGAGTTTCAACTACTCTAGATCAGCATATAGATGGTGTCATGCAGCATTAGCACTCCCATAAATGGTTTACTTCACTCATCATCATTCCCTTCATGTTGCTGTAAGTGGTAGAATTTTCTTCTTTTGTAAATCTGAATAATATTCCTTTATAGGTGTATGCTAAATTTTCTTTATCCATTCATTCATTGATGAACATTTAGGTTACTTTTGTGCCTTGGCTATTGTGAAGGAAAGAGCATCAAAGAAGAAAAAAATACTTAGGAATAAACTTCATGAAAAAAGCAAAAAATTTACATATAGAAAGCTAGAAAATACTGATGCAAGAAATTACAACAGATCCAAATAAATAAAAAGACATCCTGTGGTCATAGATTGAAAGAACTAAAACAGTTAAAATGCCATGCTACCCAAAGTGTTCTACAAATTCAGTGCAATCCTAATCAAAATTTCAATGACATTTTTTTTTACAGAAATAGAAAAAAAGTCCTAAAATTCACATAGAACCAAAAAAGATCCCAAACAGCCCAAGAAAACTTGAGCAAGAGCAAAGATGAAGTTATCATATTTTCTGATTTCAAGATATATTCCAAAACTACATTGATTTAAGACAGAAGGTTGTAATATAAACACAGACTAATAGAACAGAAGACAGCCTAGAGATAACCCATGGATATTCAATCAAATGTTTTTTGACAAGGGTATCTAGAAAACTCAGTGAGGACAAGGTTTTTTTAATAAATGATATTTGGAAAAATAGATATCCACAAGCAAAAGAAAGAAAATGGACACTTGTGCTATGCATAAAAATTATCTCAAAATGGATTAAATACTTAAACATAGGACTTAAAGCCATAAATACTTATAAGAAAACAGAAAAAGTGTCTTGACCTTAACCTTGGCAATA